GGGGGGAAAGCATTGGCCTTCTAAACCCAAGGTTGTGAGTTCAATCCTTGAGGGGGCCACTTAGGGATCTGGGGCAAAATCAGTACTTGGCCCTGCTAGTGAAGGCAGGGGGCTGGACTCCATGACCTTTTGGGGTCCTTTCTAGTTCTATGAGATAGGTGTATCTCCATATATTATATTATTATTAACAACCCTAGGAGCTCCTCACTAACTAGATATTATTGCTTTCATTTTGATAAACACAGGCATTTTTGTTCCTCATCCTCAGAGCTGAATGAGGCAGGATCCATCAGCCAAGCCTGGAAACACACGGTCTGCTGAGCTACAAAATATCCCATGCCAGCACACCAGTACAGCATAGGTAGTACTGGAGTCCAAATGGATTTCTATTACCTAAAGCCCAGTCACAAAATTCCCTTAAAGGCAGCTGCTATTCAAAACAGAGAAAGAGACCCATCTTAAGAAGTTCATCCTCAAGGGAGAAGTTCCTTAAATTCAACTACAGTCCTTCCTGTTTAGATATGAGAAACCCAAAGATAGCTGTGACAGACATGTATATGTACATTAGCTACATTTATACCTAAGCCAGTTAGATCATAAAGCGACTAAAGAAGGCTACAGCCTTCAAGCCCTCCTGGTCTGGAACAACATCTTCACAACAGCAATATTTTAAAAGATGCTTCCACTTCTCCAGGCAGGCAGGAGCAACCAGTGCCAGCAGACACATTTAGAAAACACTAATTTTCATGCCACTGTCATCAACATAGTTACTGCATTGATAGCAATTCATTGGTCAAACAGAGGCACCAGCAGAGCCCAACTTCATGCAGATGAGAGACACAGAGTGCTTGCAGGGATCCAGTCAAGGACATCATATGGATTATTCCCACCCACTAGGTTATCACCATATATTGGTTGCTGCCAAAAGCAGAACACCAAAGCACATGGATAATGGGCCATGGCCTGCCGGGATGCTGTCTGGCTATTCCTGTACTCATGCAGCTCTGGTGTGCAGGGCCAGGCTAGTTTAATCAGCAGCATTAGCCCAGGTGAGAAGCATAAAGAAACCTGCACAACTGAGCTTGGATTTGGTTTGAAAACTGAAAATGACTGGACATAAACATAGCATCTGTCACCACAGTACCAAAGGCAGGGAGATTTTCTTACCAAGATGTAGTCAGCCCACATGTCCCTGGCAGATTTCAAGGCTGCTTGTCTGAGCTTCATCACGTGCTCATAGCGAGAATTTGACCAGTGCTTCAGGCCTTCCTCATCCGGATAGGACCTGCCAGGGATTAACCTCAGTTAAAGTCCCAGCTGGGTTCATCCCTCCTCACTGCTTTCCCTTCCCAAAAGTTACATGATGTGGATATATAGCTGGAATGAACTCAGCACAAGTATCAAATCTGAGAGGTGAAAGGCAAGCTAGTTGTAAAAGCCGCACCGCCCCCCCTTTAGCCACACCACAATCCAAGTGGCCTTCTCTGCCAAGGAACTAACAGACCTCCTGCTTGGTTTTGGAGTCTTCTCCATAGACAACAGCAAGATTTCGGCTCAGTAATGTCACGGAGGCCCCTGAGACTCTACAGAAAAGGGAAGGCATTTGATACAGACACATCATGTTGGTCTCCATGGACCCAATTAAACCCTTGAGCTAACAGAATATCCTCTATATGCAGTGGAGATCATTGATGCAGCAGAGTCAATTGCTCTGACCCACCAGTTTATGAGCATCTCTGAACAATCTTGTCTAGAACTGCAGCCAATCCAATCCCACCACAAACAGTGACTTCTATCAGAGCCCTAACCTGCTCTCCAGTGCACTACTCCCAAGTGACAAGCATCCTGAATCCTCTAAAACAAGCAAGACCAGATAAGGCAGAATTTAATGCTGTCTCCTTGGTGTCTGGGGATTTTGAAAAGGGAAAACAGATTTTTGTTTCTTACATATTCAAAAAATGAGAATATTGAAGAATTTACATGGGAGTCTCGATGGCACTTGGAGACCGGCTCTGTTCAGTAATTTGCAGGCAGGTCTGCAAGGCTGTA